AGCAGCAAGGATACTTCTTGCAAAACATTGGAAAACTCAAGATCTACCCACACCCACAGATGGCCAAGCATGCAAAAGGAAGGGAGATAGTAGTAATGGGGGACTTCAATTACCCGGATATTTGTTGGATGTCAAACTCAGCCAAGAGCATAAGGTCAAACAGATTCCTCACTGGCCTTGCAGACAACTTCATTGTCCAGAAAGTGGGAGAAGCAACAAGAGGAACAGCCATTTTAGATCTGGTCCTAACCAATGTTGATGACCTGGTTAGTGGGGTAGAAGTGGAAGGATCATTAGGCGCGAGTGATCATGCTCTTCTGAAGTTTACTATACAGCGGAAAGGAGCAGCCAAGCATACTAGGACTCAATTTCTTGACTTTAAGAAAGCCGACTTCATAAAACTTAGGGAAGTGCTGGGTGAGATCCCATGGACAGTAATACTAAAAGGAAAGGGAGTTCATGATGGCTGGGAGTTTGTTAAGAGGGAGATAGTAAAAGCACAACTTCAGGCAATACCAATGAGACGGAAACATGGAAGGTGCCTAAAGAAGCCAGGGTGGCTATCTAAAGAACTTTTAACTGAGTTAAGATTAAAAAAGGATGTGTACAAAAAATGGAAAAGGGGAAAACCACCAAAGAGGAATTCAAACAAATAGCCAGCACGTGTAGACACAAAGTCAGAAAAGCTAAAGCACAGAATGAACTCAGGCTTGCTAGAGAGGTTAAAAGCAACAAAAAAGGCTTTTATGGGTATGTTCGTAGCAAAAGGAAGAACAAAGAAACAGTGGGGTCACTCAGAGGAGAAGATGGTGAAATGCAAACAGGGGACACAGAAAGGGCTGAACTCCTCAATGCCTTCTTTGCCTCAATCTTCTCCGATAAAGAAAACAATGCCCGACCTGAAGAATTTGGAGCAAATGATTCAGCAGAGAAAACACAGCCCAGAATAACTAAGGAGATAGTACAAGAATACTTGGCTAGTTTAGATGTATTCAAGTCTCCAGGGCCAGATGAACTGCATCCAAGAGTATTAAAAGAACTGGCAGATGTGATCTCAGAACCACTGGCAGTCATCTTTGAGAAGTCCTGGAGAACAGGCGAAGTCCCGGCAGACTGGAGGAGGGCAAATGTTGTCCCTATTTTCAAAAAGGGGAAAAGAGAGGACCCAAATAATTACCGCCCAGTCAGTCTGACATCAATACCAGGGAAGATTCTGGAGCAGATCATTAAGCAAACAGTCTGTGAGCACCTAGAAAGGAATGCTGTGATCACCAATAGTCAGCATGGATTTCTGAAAAATATGTCATGTCAGACTAACCTGATCTCGTTTTTGACAGAATTACAAGCCTGGTAGATGAAGGGAACGCAGTGGATGTAGCCTACCTTGATTTCAGCAAGGCATTTGACAAGGTGCCCCATGATATTCTTGTAAAGAAGCTGGTAAAATGCGGTCTTGACTATGCTACCACTCAGTGGATTTGTAACTGGCTGACTGACCGAACCCAAAGGGTGCTCATCAATGGTTCCTCTTCATCCTGGAGAAGAGTGACTAGTGGGGTGCCACAGGGTTCTGTCTTGGGCCCGGTCTTATTCAACATCTTTATCAACGACTTGGATGATGGACTCAAGGGCATCCTGATCAAATTTGCAGATGACACCAAACTGGGAGGGGTGGCTAACACCCCAGAGGACAGGATCACACTTCAAAACAACCTTGACAGATTAGAGAACTGGGCAAAAACAAACAAGATGAATTTTAACAGGGAGAAATGTAAAGTATTGCACTTGGGCAAAAAAATGAGAGGCACAAATACAAGATGGGTGACACCTGGCTTGAGAGCAGTACATGTGAAAAGGATCTAGGAGTCTTGGTTGACCACAAACTTGACATGAGCCAACAGTGTGACGCGGCAGCTAAAAAGCCAATGCAATTCTGGGCTGCATCAATAGGAGTATAGCATCTAGATCAAGGGAAGTAATAGTGCCACTGTATTCTGCTCTGGTCAGACCTCACCTGGAGTACTGTGTCCAGTTCTGGGCACCACAGTTCAAGAAGGACACTGACAAACTGGAACGTGTCCAGAGGAGGGCAACCAAAATGGTCAAAGGCCTGGAAACGATGCCTTATGAGGAACGGCTAAGGGAGCTGGGCATGTTTAGCCTGGAGAAGAGGAGGTTAAGGGGTGATAGGATAGCCATGCTCAAATATATAAAAGGATGTCACATAGAGGAGGGAGAAAGGTTGTTTTCTGCTGCTCCAGAGAAGTGGACACGGAGCAATGGATCCAAACTACAAGAAAGAAGATTCCACCTAAACATTAGGAAGAACTTCCTGACAGTAAGAGCTGTTCAACAGTGGAATTTGCTGCCAAGGAGTGTGGTGGAGTCTCCTTCTTTGGAGGTCTTTAAGCAGAGGCTTGACAACCATATGTCAGGAGTGCTCTGATGGTGTTTCCTGCTTGGCAGGGGGTTGGACTCGATGGCCCTTGTGGTCTCTTCCAACTCTATGGTTCTATGATTCTATGAATGAGAGAAAATTGCTTGCACAGAAATGTGCATACAAACATGATTATATAAAGAAAAATGTGCATGAACATGTGTGTAAAAATGAATTTTCATGTTAAAATAAATACATGAACTATGCATAAATGGGACAAACTATTTAAGACTGACAAAAAATTAAATCAGAAATGGATAGATTTCTCCATCGGCAAGGATTTCTGATGCTCAGTCGTTTGACACTCTCAGCCACAATATCCCTCCCCATCGCTGCCCTCTTCCAGCCCACCCTAAAATATAAAATTAAAAGAGCTGGGGGGCAATAAGAAATGGAGTTGTATGTGGAAGGATTCTGAGCTCCATTCCAGTACTCAAAACAAATCCCTAGGTTCAAAATTCTTTAATGTTAGTATGAATGCTTTTTGCACATACTTTCCGTAGGTGGATCTTGGGTTTCTTGCAAAAAAAACAAAGTAGATCCAGCAAGCATGAATTCTGTTCATCCATGTTCTAAAGTCCCAAAGGTAGGTGAGGCAAGAATCCTAAGTTGAAACAGGGAGCGGCAACTCAAATGGAAAAATTAAAAGGCGGTGCATACCATGGGCAAAAGGTAGTTGCTCCACAGAGAAAGAAGGAAGGAAGGAAGGAAGGAAGGAAGGAAGGAAGAGGGGTTCATATATCTCCACTGATTGCTTATAAAGGCCCAAGTTGTGCTCTGAGAACCCCAGCCTTGTATTGAGCCAACAGTCACAGGACACATGGGAGGTCATCTTTCTGTTGCCCTGTGACAGTTTATAATGGGGTGGCATACTTTTTCATTCCAAGGACTGCATTACCTTCAGGGGGGCACAACCAGTGATAGATGGGGCCAGAGGCAAAAGGAGGCAAAGCAATAGCGTAACTTTTACCTTCCCAAGTGCATCTGGCTGGACACTATCAGAACAGGATGCAGGACTAAGATGGGTCATTAACACGCACTTTGCATGATGTATAAGGTCCCAGGTTCATTCTCTGCCAATTCCTCCTTTTAAAAAAGAAAAATTGCCCACTAGAATTCTCCATGTTCATTACTGGAGCAGGCACATTGTAAAGAGAGCCAGTGTGATGTAGTGGTTAGTGTGTTCTACAAGGATTGGGAAGACCATGGTTGAAATCTCCAATCTGCCAGGAAGCTCACTGGATGACCTTGAACCAGTCACTGTCTAACTCTAACCTACCTCACAGGCTTGCAAGAATAAAATGGAGGCAGACTATGTATGTTGCCTTGAGCTCATTTGGGGAAAGGTGGGCTATATAAATGTCATAAATGAAAAACAAAGCTAGAATAAATATCTCCAGTGTTACCACACACAAAAACCAAAGCACTTCTAGGTAGGAAGCTGAGTGGAATTCCATTTTGCGGTAGGCCTCCGTGTCCAATTTGACTTTCTATGCATGCAGATTATGCTATGCGCTGGCTCTCCTCCCTGCCCGGAGAAGGTTGATGTCACAATCTCTTTGCAGTTTCCCTTGTGGATGTCAATCGCCAGCAGCTCGGTACTGAAGCAGAATCCTTGGATTCCCTGTTTAACAAAAGCTGGTTTTCCTTCACAAAGGAAAGGTTGCATACCCTCAGAACTCTGATTTTTTTAAAACAAAAAATGTTGACAACCCACACCATTGGGGCAGAGTAGAACTAGTCCCATTGCCTGCAACATGATGCTAAACAAATGAGCGACTGGCTCCCAGGAAATTATTGGTGAGCGTTTTCCCACTCACACACGTGTATTAATTATACACACATACACGTGCATGCATCTACAGGCACACACCTAAAGAAACTCCAAAGTACTGGGTTTGCAGAAACTGCCTCAGCACACCTCACACTTTTGAGGCACCTTCGAGAGGCAAAATGCTAACAGTGAGTAAGGAGGGGGAGAAACTAGATTTTCTGGCGGAGATAATAATAAGGGAGAAAATGGTCGCGGGGCACAAAGGAGAGCAGAGAGAGGTTTTTCTTGCGAGACAACAGCAACTCTGTTTAATAAATGTGTCAGGAAGAGGGAAGCCATGTTCCGCCCACGGCAACCCCACCCTGCGCAGCGAAGGGAGTCGGCACCGCCTGGCGCTGAGGGGGCCTTCGCAGCGCCCGCCGTGTTGCCCTTAGCAAAGATGGCGCCTCCTCCCTCGCCCACGGACCGAGTCCTCCGCATGCGGCCCTTTCCCTTTGCCTCACAAGGAGGCGGCAGCGGCGGCAACCACCATAAAATAATAAAAAAGTAGAACAGTGTCAATACGCTCCTTATTGTCACCTCCGGTAGAACACCGAAACTATTTTATTTGGTCCCAGTGAAAGACAAACGCATATAGGGCTTCCATCATAGAGATGCCAAGGGCTAGACGCCACTCCTGCGCTTATGTAGGAGAGAATCGCGGCTAATGGCGGCTTCCAATGTAGAACCATAGACTTGCAATGGCCTTTAAAGAAAAAAAGTTTAAACGGAAGTCCCGGATGTAAGTCTATGGCGTGTCTAATGGCCCCTCTCCCTCTCTATGATTTCGCCTACGTTCTGACGCCGGAAGGGCGGCTGCTCTTGGATTACTGCGCAGGCGCCAAGGGCTTCCTTGCCAACGGAAGTGGTTCGCCGCGGGCCGGAAGTGGGAGGAAGAGCGGCTGTGACTGTGTGAGAGAGATGGAGATGGAGCCGTTGAGTCCCCGCGCTGAGCACTCAGGTTGGGGGGAGAAGGAGGAACAGCGGTTGTCGCCAGGGGGCCGGCAGCTGAGGGAGAGAGGGGACTGGCTCCCAGACCCTCCTCTGAGAGGCTCGCCCCACAAGCGCCTCTTTACATGGGCTCATCTCATAGGCTGCCGTTTGCCCTATAAGCTCCCTTCTTCCTGCCGAAGGAGAGATGGGGACACGCCCCCCACGCCTGACTCCCCCTCCCGCCTCTCTTAGCTCTCATCCCCATGCTGTCCCCCGCCATAGCCGCTGAGTAACCACTGCTTGCCCCCTTTTTTGTTGGGCTGCTAAGCAGGTTTCTATGAACATATGAAGCCGCTTGTGAGAGGCAGTGTGGTGTAGTGGTTGGACTATGTTAAACTCTGGAACTCATTACCACAGGAGGCAGTGTTGGTTTTAAAAGAGAATTATACAAAGTCAAGCGATCAGTAGCTGCTAGCCACAATGGGTATGTTCTGCCCCCGCTCTTAGAGGCAGTATACCTCTGAATATCAGTTGGAGGTGGGGCGTGTTGCTGTTGCACTCTGGTCCTGTTACAGGCTTCCCAGAAGCATCTGGTTGCCCACAGTGAGAGCAGGATGCTGGACTAGATCTGCTATTGGCTTGATCCAGCAGGGCTTTTCTTTTGTTCTTACTGATGACCTGGGTTCACAAATGTGTGACTGAATCAGATGTACATGAATAAGGCCAAGGGGTTAGTATTTGCTTCCATGCTCCCTCCTCTGTGACCAGTATGGAAATATAAATTGCTGGCTTTTCACCTGGCTAGGTAAAAAAGAAGAAGCCTTCTATCATGGTGGGCAAGGGATAGAGTGAACTGGCTCGCTTCTTAACAGCCTGCTGTGTTTCTGGGCTGACCATGGAGGAAGTGAATTTTCTTCCTCTGTAGCTAGCATAGAAACTTAAGTGGGCTGATGGAGAAGACAGATTGATGTGTCTGTACTCTTCCCAGTTTGCTCATTCATCCTGGAATTCTTGGTTGCCTATGGCTACCAGACAAGTTATTAAATGCAAGGCTTGTGTGAGAGGGGAGGTGCATTTTTCTTTTCCTTTTTTCACAGTTATGTCCTCCAAGGAGCTCAGGGTGACCTTTGTGGGTGGCGCTACCCCCTTTATCCTAACAGCCACACTGTGGAGTAGATTAAGCTGGGAGAAAAGTGAGCTTCAAGGTTCAAACAGGTTCAGATCCCTGCTCAGCTCCAAAGCTATGCCAGTTTACCCTGTCTCATGTTACATTGAGCCTATGTTACATTGCACGCATCTTCCCTCTCAACGGTCTTGATACTACTTTCAACGTTATGCCAGCCAGACACTATGAAAATGACACTGTCTCTACCTGGGTGTGTTACAGTTTACATTTTGACATAAAATGCAGGGATGGATGATACAAAAATGAGCAAAGGGGAAGCACCTGAGGAAAATCAGAGTGACAGAGATGTTATATTCTGAGGGAGCTCCTGGTGGTTCATTCCTTTGTTCTTAAACCAAAAGTGGGATAGGACAGAGCTGCTATGCTAGATTCCTGGCAGATGGGTTGCTGTTGTTTTCTGGGAGGGAGAGGGACAAGGTGGCAAGGAGGTGGGTGTGGTTCAAACAGTCCAGCGATCCTGCCAATGTGTTTGCATTATGCCAACCTCCCTGCTTCCTTGCTTACACCCCTCATCTGGTAAGCAACAGTATCCCACTAGCCAAGAAACTAGCCTAGGGGGGCTTGCCTGTCACCTTCTTTACACAGCTTTAGGTGTCAGGAAAAAACATTCCTCTTCTTTGGCTAATTAAACAGTCTATGGCCTTTTAAAACTGGGGGTGGGGGCATTGTTGTTGTTATGCTATGTATTTTTGTGTTTTTATATTGTAAACCATCCTTTGATCTTTGGATGAAGGGAAGGGTAGTATAGAAATGTAATTATTAATAATAGTGGCTTTGCCTCAGATGGTGAACTGTGTCTGCTCTAAACCCAGGATTGCAGTTTGTTTTAGAGGCAGATGCCTGCGAGTTAAATACAGTGGTACCTCAGCAGCTTCTTTTTTGTCAAGTCTTAAAATCTTAATCTGTCTTTACTCACAGTAGTGGAGGGACAGGTTTAATGAAGCTAGGGTTGTTCAAGAAAGGCTTTCCTAAAGATCTCTGTTTTCATTAAGAACTTCAGAGCAGGTGAGATTGGGAAGCAACAGCAAATAGAAGCTGACCCAAGCTGAAGAGCAACATGGGAGAAAGCGTGGGAGTCAAGAGAAGATGGTGAGCTTGTGTAGATGTAAGGAGTAAGAGATTTGGAGTAAAGAGAAGATGTATGATCAGAATGGGGGATCGCATTAATAGGGAGGAATAGAAGCCTGATGGTGGTGAAAAGTGCAGTAAGAAGCCAGTGAAGCAACTTGATGTGTCTGGGGAGTGGAGAACAATTCTGAATTCTTCTCTGTCAACTCCTAGGTATTTCTTCTCTTCTGCTTCCATTTAGTCTTTGAAGACTTGATTGCCCTCATCTTCTGACTTCAGTACATAATGGTCTCCTGTGTTCTCAGGTTTCCATGCATGAGTGAATAAGTCAAAGTTCAGAGGTGGAGTGCAGGTTTTTTATGTATAAGGTGTTAGGTGCCCTGTTAAAAGATCTTGGGCATTACACTTGGGAAGCAATTTTTGCTTGTTAGAGGGTTTCTTGGTATATATGGAAAGTCAGATGGACCACTGTTCTTGTGGTGCTGGGTATCTCCTTGAAAAAATGAATGTTTGAGGAATGTGTGTAAATGATCACATGAGAAAGCAAGAAGTGATCCTCTGTAGGAGGTAAAGTGATTTGTTTGCATGAATCTGCTTTTTGACCAGCTTTTTAGCCAGTTTGTTTTCACAGCTTTATAATCAATTTGTGTTCAACAGCACATCAAGGTGAGCTCCCTTTGGCAAAGAAGTCATGATGCTAAAATATCTCTTAATTTGTTAGTATTTCCCCGCTCTCCCCACTCTGGCTCAGATTTGGCCACCAGCCACCTGAATTATCAGCTTAGTGTGCATTCACATAATAGAACATATTAGAATATAATGAGTCTGGCACTGGAGGTTCACAGGCCATGTTTCATTATGTGTCAGTGTAGCAAGCACCAGGAAATGTGAGCAGCTGCCTGGAGTAGTCAGGTGGCAGCCTTTTTGCTTGCTGCTGGTTGGGAGCAAGTGTATTCAGATTTAGCTAACCACCAGCACACATTGTGCTGTTGCTCTGTGTTATAGGTCATAAAATCAGCTCTGGGAAGTCACTGTGTTACTGCTCTTTGGGATCATGGCCACTGTCTGTGCTTTGGGAAAACCACTTTCAGCCTCCGTTTCCCATCTGTAAAACAGGACTAATAGGGTCACTGAGGGTATGAAGCACTTTGTAAAATAAAAATGCAATAGAGATATAGGGACTTCCGGGTTGGCGCCTCCGGCAATGGCGGAACTCCTCCGTTCGGGAGGAACTTGCTCCGTGAAAAACAGGGTCTGACCGCCACGGCGAAGGTGGAGACCCATTGAAATCACAAGCGGGAGAAGCTTGTGAACCTGGGATTCGGCTGGCACCTTTTGTGCCTCCCCTACTCGCGGGGAAACCCTGTTTTGGGGATCCGGAGCGACGTGGGGTGAGTGGCGCGGTGCTTTGAAGTGACTGCTTCTTTCACGGAGTGAAGCCGCATTGCTGTTGCCGGAGAGCACTGACTTTTTCCTGTGGACAATTGGATTTTAAACAACTACCCGTGAGTAGAACGGAAAATTGGATTTTTGAATACCTTAATTTGGCACTGAAGCGGGAAGGTCATAAACAGGAAGTCCGCCTTCCGCTTTTGTAAATAGACTGAAGCAAAGACGTTACAAGTTAAAGTCTTTGAAAGCTTTTGGCAAAGGATTAAATTTCCACCGGTTTAAAATACAAAACCCCCCTTGGAAGCAGGAGAAGAGGGGGAAATTTTGGGCCTAGTGAGCCTGCAGGAGAGAGTGAAAAATCAAATTACCACTGCTCTGAACCTGGGAACGGGCTGCCAGATGACGTTTGGAGAGAGTGCATTGACAGAACGGATTTGACAGTTAGTTAAATAAGAGTAAGATACTGTTTCCATTGTCCTCCTCTGCCTTTAAAGAAGAGGAAAAGTAACTGAAAATTGAAACTATCTTTAATGCTTGAGTTGTGCCTGAAAGAACTGATACAAGTGGAGACTGTTTCCCTCTAGAGGGAGCTTTTGAAACTGTTACAGGAGTGTAACTGGGGGATTTTCAGCTGCGGATAAGGATTCTGAGAACCAGAGATTGACCTTGCACCATTTAAAAATGTTGACAGGAGAGGCCATTGTGACTGTTTTATGTAAGATAAGCTGTTCGCTGGGACAGCTTCACAAGAAGATGGATGACATGACTTTTAAAGTGGATAATTTGGAACAGAAAGTGAATAATTTGAGTCAAAAAGCGAACACCAACACAGAAATAATTCAGGACTTGGTACAGGAATCCATTTTGGCAGGACAAATGGTGGAGGAGAAGGAGGAGAAGGAGAAAGCTGCTGTTGTTGAACATAAAGTAATACAAGCGGGATCCGTGGCTTTACAGAAGCAAATTGAGGACTATAAGTTGAGGCCTTTTATGATTGAATCTAGGAAAAGTCAGACTTTGAGGAATGGATCCCGGCTTGGATTAAAGAAGGAAAGTTGGAAAGATCCCTCTATGCAGGGATTAACTGACTTTTGGGACATGGACTCGGGCCTGGAGGAGATTGAAGTTTTGGGGGCCTTTGGATTTGGAGGAATCTTGAAATATGCCCTGAAATACTTTATGGACTGTAGCTTCAACTATGGAAATTTGGCTGATCTGTTCAGAAGGAAAAAAGGATTGACAGGTTGGAGTTTCCCTGAGATTTGCTCTTTAGCATTAAAGAAAATGAAGAAGACCTGCAGAAGGGACTTGGAAAAGAGTTAAGAGCCTCGGACATAAGATCACCAGGTTGATGGACTTTATGGAGTTGACGGAAAGGACTGGCAGAATCCGAAACCAGGGAGAGGAGATGGTGGAAGAAGATTGGAAAATTTAAAGTTTATATATAGACATATGGTAAAACTAATGAGTGATAGAAAAATGGTGGAATGATTTTTTATGGGCTTAGCAGAAATGTTATAAGGAGTTAAGCATATATAAGTATTTTAGTTCTAATGGAAAATAAGGTTAAAAAATACGTTATTTACAATATGATAGAAAATGGAGAAAGATGGAAAGGATTTGCTGAAACAATTAATAGAAGTGGAATACAAAAAGGGAGGTGAGAGGAGGTCGAGGAAACAAGGGAATGAAAGATAGAGTACGGAAAAGGGATGATGTATGTTTTTAAATTGTTTTTGTTTTGTTTTATTTAGGGTTAAGGTTAGGGAGTGGGGTTTGTTTAGTTTAGTTTAATGTGTTTAGTTTTGAGTTTAGGTTGTGTTTTGCATTGTCTATATACTGTACTGTATTGTTTTTTTTTCCTTTTTGCTTTCCTCCTTTGTCTTTTTTTCTGTTTTTCTCTTCTCTTTTTGTAATCTATAAAAGTAATAAATATTATTTAAAAAATTGCAATAGAGATATAAAAGAGCATGGCTTTCAAAGAATGGCTGAGAAGCAGAGTTAAAAAGAAAATATAAAATAAGTGATCAATATTGCATAAGTTGCTTATGGTCAGTCTGGGAGATCACACTGAAATGATGTCAGTCAAAGACATACTTGAAATTATACCCCAAAGATAAAGCAGCATGGCTGACACAAGTGTGGTGCATCCTTAGTTTAGCAACATTACAAACTCATAAGAACATAAGAACTCTGTTAAATTGGAACCAGTTAATCCGATAACTCTCCCACTTTGGAGCAACAGGACCAGTGGTACTATATGTGTGAATGGATGCTGGCTGGGCCCTGACTCTTCGCTTCCAAATGTATTAATATATACTACACCAAGATCTTAACAGCATGTACTGAAATTGAGACAGCTATTTTTCACTAGTTCCAAAATAGGGAGAAACCATTTTTCCGTTTCTAGAGGGATATTTGTTTCAATAAGTGCAATAAAATAAAAATTTGAAAAACAATGCAAGAGAATGGAGATGTCTTCTAAAAGTCAGGTAGTTGTTTATAATTTAAAGTGAGATATAATAAAATAACAATACAATGAAACATAACTAATAGCTATTAAAAGTAGCAATAAAATCAAGAGCATACAATGAGGCCATTAAAACACTGGAAAACAAAGAAGCCTTCCCCCTTGGTGCCTTAAAACCATCAAATTTTATGCCAGACGAATGGACAGGGGGAGAGAGTTCCACAGATGATGTGAGCTGACTCTTCCTGGTAGCCACCCCCACCTCCCCTCCAAAGATGGAGGCACCCAGAGCTGGCCCTGTGGTGAAGATGTTCATGAAATCATGCTTTGCTTTTCTGTGCAGAGCAGTTACAGTGCATGCAACCTCTCTCCACTCCTATGAAACTATAACATAAACATTTTTTTAAAAAATCCATACAAAAACCCTGGTCAAAACCAATCATTATTAAAGCACAGAAGTTCATTCCAGCCCAAGAGCCTTCAAGAAAGGTGCACAATTCATACACAAATCAAATCTTTCTGCAGGTTTTTGTGGGGGGTGGGTGGGGAATGTTTTAAAAAACCTTTAACCTCAGACAGCAAGACTCATTTCCATTAAAACAGGTATATGCTGAAATGGAAACTGCTTTTAAAGAAATAACCTCTGCAGAGACTGGGTCCAAAAAAAGGTGGTGGGTGGGACAGCATTGCAATAAGGAAATTAAAGTGACTCAAAACGGAGGGGAAACAAACTACGTCTTTTCTTTAGTCAAAAGAAATGGGCAGGTGAGGAGAATTATTTAGACTTATTAATAGAAGTATACAGTACTGAGAAATGAATTCTTGAGTTATTTTTAATATCTTAATCTACAGGATAACTGTAAATACATGGAGAGGTGCCTAAATCATTGCTTTATAGAAGAGTTCAATGCGTGCATTGCCATGGATTTTATCAGGGAATCCTGTATTATCACATATCTATAATTTGATTGCCTCAGCAATGCAAGGTGTGGAAAGGTACCAACACAGTGAGCACCTGGTGCCCTCTGGTGGCAACTAGGCTACAGTGCAGAACTTGAAAACCATTTCATAGTTCTATTTTAAAGGATTTAAAAAAACAAAACCTGCCGTCTGGCTTTTTAGATTTGCATGCTCTTCTTGACAGGAGGGGATAAAAATGGAGGTAGAGAAGACAGGAGTAGTTTGTTATTGAAACCATTGACCAGACTAGAAATAAGAAATGTTGCCAGGCTTAAATTTGCATAAGGTTTTTTTAAAAAAACAACAACACACACACACTGAAAGATTTTCTCACTTAGTGCTTCAGCCACAGATGACTGCTTGGCTGTACGCTTGGTGGAAAAGCAAGCCTGCTTGATAGTCTTTTGCTGATGTGGTGAGAGGTTTTACTTCCTTTTTCAAGAGGGTGTGTCTTTCTGTCCTTGGGGACAGCTCTAGCTGTTTCATCATGTTGCACAAAGCCCTTCTCTTTCATGCGCAGCAAGTTTCTGCTCTCTTTCCATTATGAGGGATAGGATGGGTATGAAGGAAGGGTTTGTGTATTACAACAACCCCGAGGAGGAGGTACAGTGTGTGTCTGCACATAAAGACACATTGCACACACACTTCTGGGATCCTTGTAGATGAAGGCCAGATCACCAGTTGTTGGTCTTGAGGGCAGGTTTTGCCCCCAGCACCAAAACTCTGTTAAATAGAGTTTGCTGTTCAGAGTTAGTTATGCCAGTCAGTAGTAGATAGGGCTCTCTGTGTCTCTTACTAATGACAGCTAAACAAATGCTGCTGAGTACCAGATGCTGGCACATACAGGAAGGGCTGTTGTCTTTGTGCTGTGCTGGTGAGCTTCCCGGAAGCATCTGGTTGGTCACTGTGGAAAACAGGATCCTGGATTTAGATGGACTGTTGCTCTGATCCAGTGGGCGCTCCCCCCCCCCATCCCCTGGTCTGCTTCTCTTAAGTGTAACTCATTATTTCGTCGTTCACCTCTATGGGGAAATTGTTCATTCAAGCAGAGGCAAGTAAAAGTACACTGAGTAGCCCCTTCTGGCATGAACGATAAACCTTCTCTCTGACTTTGGTGACTCCTGCCGCTGAATGTCAAGCCTGCCCCTATTGCATTGCTGTACCCCCTTCAACTCAATATCCCCAGGTTTTGTTCAGTGTCTTGGTCAGTTCAGAGTGCAACAATATTTCGTATATTTTGGAAAGTGGATTGTCCATCCATCCACCTGCGTGTCTGTTCTCTATAGGTTTGGCTGCATATCAATATATATTTTTGTGTATTTCTATTCTAAACAAATTTAATAAATAATAATAATAAATCATCCTGTGATCCTCAGATGAGGAGCGGTATATAAATATAATAAATAATAAATAGTAATAATAATAAAGTATATCATTGCCAAACTTGGCACAAGAGTTCCCAAGTTAGGCAACTGTCTTTGTTGGTGTTGGATACTGAGTGCCATTTTGAATCAAATGTAACTTTGGCATGACTTTGTCCAATTTTCAGTGTGACGGGTCCAAACACACAAATTGCTGTATCCATTTAAAAATCATGATTTATTTTTGTTGTTTCTAAGAATTCCCAGGCACTGCCAGACATTCCCCACAGGTATTTATGTAAACAGGTTCCTGTTTATGTCTGTCATTATGATGGATAGTGTGTGTGCATGGAGGAAGCGTGCAGTTAAACTATGTCATTCCCTACCACATCACAATGATAACCACCAGGAAAATGGCTAGGTAGTGCAGTCAAGAGTTAGCTTTGTTTCTTTAGCTACAGTTAAATCCCATCTTTATTCCAAGGAGTTCAAAGCAGCACATGTGGCTCTCCCATTTTATCTGTCTTAACAACCCTATTAGCCTAGAGATGGGGACTGCCCCAAGGTCACCCTGCGTAGTACAGCATCGCAGGGACCAACCAGATGCGTCCTCTGGGAAGCCCAGAAGAAGGACCTGAGAGCAACAGCAATGCTCCCCACTTGTAATTCCCAGCTACTGATATTCAGACATATGGTGCCTTTGGCAGTGGAGGTAGAACATAGCCACCATGGCTTGTAGCCATTGAGAACATTAACCTGCATGAATCTGTATAACCCTATTTTAAAGCCATCCAAGTTGTTGCCCACCACTACCTCATAGCTGAGTGCAATTTGAACCTGTATCTCCTTTGTCACCCAGTGGTTAAAGTCTAGCCACTACATCACACCTGCTCTCTTAGTCCAGAGAATGAGTGTGGAAACCATTATTTGCCTGCCAGTGACAAACATGGTGCAAGTATTATCCTGCGTGATGTTCAATTTATTATTATTGATTTCAGGTTTCAAAATATCTCTGTGGATTTTCCTGCATGGAAGAGAGTGGTGACCCATTGGATGACCTCCAAGGTCAGAATGCTGCAGAGGAAGGAAGGAGACCCTCATTGCCAAGAGGTGGTTCGGTTTGCAGTGCTTTGCAGAGTGCTCACTCTTTTCCTCCAGGCAAGTCCCCCAACACCAAGCACTGAAATATACAATATCACTGAAATATAACCCGCCTGGCATTCTCAGATCAGGACAGATGACATCAGAAATAAATACTGGGTTCTTTTTCATATGTTTAAAGTTCAAAAGGTAGTATATCTGTTCTAGATAGAGAGGGGTCATACCTAGCTCAGTGTTGGAGCACATGCCTTTCTTCCAGAAATTTGCAGGTTAAAACCCTAAACATTTCCAGTTAGAATGATCAGTGTAGAGAGTTTGGGACAAGTGGGATCCACCAAGGATCTGTATTACAGGGCTGCTGTGTTTAACTTGCTCATAAATGATACAGGGTTTGGGGTGAGCTGTGTGTTGACCCAAGTATGCCAATGATACTAAAGTATTAAAAAAGGGATTGTGAAAATGATCAAGGAGCTGTAGCAAATCCCATGAAGAGGAAGGATTTCAGCATTGGAGCTTTTTAGCTTAGAAAAAGGGTGAATAAGGAGGGGAGAGGACATGATAGAAATGTATAAAAATTATGCATGGCATGGAGAAAATGAACAGAGAGACATTTTTAAAGTACTTTTTCATCAGCACGTAGTTTGTTATTCTAAGGCATTTGCTGCCATGCAATGTAGTGATGGCCACCAACTTAGATGGGTAGTCCAGCTGGTCTGGCAGAGCCCTGGGACAATCTCTAGCCATTGCAGCTGAAGCTTCCTCTGTCTGCTAGCGTCCTTCAATGGTGCAGAAAATATAGTGACTGGGCCCCTGTTGCTACAGTTCCCCATCTGAGATAGTTACGTAAATTATTTTAGAACTCCCCCAAAAGGTGTACTTTTTGGAGTGTGTATGAGTACGAATGGCATTCCCTCAGCGAATCCAACAGAAATGCAGCAGGAAGCTTCTTCTGCAGATTAGTTATTTGGATGCACAGAATTCACGTGTTGTGGCATAATAGTGTGCTCTCCATCACGTACTCAATAGTTTGGGAACCAAATGTAAGTCCACAGACATGATGTGGACTACACACTTTAAAAAATGAAAACAAAATATTCTCAATAATCCACATTTTGTTCTGGAAAGCCAATCCTATGCAGAATTTCTGAAGATTAGTAGCTGTGCCTTTGTAATCTCTGAGCAGGCAAGATTCCCCCCCCCCCCCAGCTATTCTTGTGCTCAGAGGAACATGAAGCCAGCTGCAGGAGCTTTGTCTACATAATAGGTATTTGACATTTAAATTAGGCATATTTTTACTGCAATAGCAAGGGAGGCCCTGAAAAGAGAGCATCCTGTGCATTTTGCCAAAGATACCACTTTTCCTCACAAAATCTCAACCAACTTGTGAACCAGAAGCACTGCTTTCAGGCTGATAGGAACGTTGCTCCCAATTTCTCTGTGGTGATGGCAACCAGAAATTCAGCTAACCTATGTCATTGGCAGTGTAAGATGAGTCTTCACTAGGATTAAGGCATTAGGGTTTTGGGGTGGCTAGAACCAAAATTAAATGCAGCCTGTAGGGTTAAGGCAGCCTTCCTCAACCTGGTGTCCTTCAGATGTTTTGGTTTACAACCCATTGTACCTGACCATTGGCTATGCTGGTTGGGGCTGACAGGAATTGGGAGTCAGCAGCAGCTGAGGGCACCAAGCTTGGGGAAGCCGGCTTGAGTCAAGACTAAAGCAAACAGCACATACAAGTTCTGAGACTTCATACTTGTGTAGGATGAGAAAACCAGGGTAAACTGGAGCCAGAGTAAGCCATTACTAAGAATTCAGTTATGTGAGCGTGAATTGAGGAGAGATGGAAGAGAAACAATGCATTTCTGTGGCAGCTCCCCAACTGGAATTTCTACCCAAAAGAAGTCAGATTGATACTGTCCCTGGTGGCTTTTGTGCAGGCAGTGAAACGCTTCACTTTTTCCCTGGTTCTTAATCATGGTGTTAACTTCTCTATTCTCCTTGGTTTACAACCTTTGGCTTTAATTTTGTTAAAAATTAGGTTGCAGGAGGCTAGCTTGGGAGATGGAAATCCATGGCTTGTACTTAACATGACTCAGAGGCTGAGGAAGTTCCCTGCTGGATCAGAACAAAGCCCATTAAATCCAGCGTCCTGCTTCACGTAGTGGCCAACTAGAAGTTGCTGGAGAGCCACTGCCAGTCAGAGTAGACTGTGCAGTGCTAGATGGACACATAGGCTAAACTGTTATAAGGCCACCTCCCATGTCCCTGTGTTGTACATGGGGCATATTAACACAGTATGCTGGCCAAAAAGTGTTGCATATTCCAGCCTTAGAAGAACTTTGGGTAGAATGCAGTTTCATCTTGACAGCTACAATGGGATCCTACTAAAGTTCCTTGTAGGACCATGGGTAAGTTCTTACACTGGGAACTGTGCCAAATACACACACAGTTGATGCCAGACAGACTGCTAGCAGGAGAATTCCTTTTTGGTCCCTTATAGCTTGGGCTGGGTATTGTCGTCTGGCCAGCCAAATAGCCACAGGGTTGTTGTTTTTTATGGAAAGGCATGACTGCCTTTATTGAGTTTGATTTCATTAGATGTGTGGCTCTCTCTGTTCCTTGTGTGCCAACACATAATTGGATTGATTGCACAAAGGAAACCCCCGAGTTTGACATTTCTGTATGCTTCGTCTGGCTCGGCAAGTTGGAATGACTTTTCATTTGGCAGATGATCTCGGTGCACATTTAGAAATTGCGGTCTTTGGCATGTTGCTCTTTTCTCCCACAGTTTAACGAGGTACAAAGCATGCTCACTGATCAGTTGTTTCCCCCAAAAAGCACCTTCATCTTGGCATACAGGACTGCTGGCTTAGCATAGTGGCTAAGTTGCTGGTTCAGATGCCACCTCTGTCATGAACTCATGAAACAGTTGTAGTTTCATGCCCACATCTGCAATATGGTGATAGTAATACTGGCACCCTTTACTTGGTTGTTGTAAGGATTGTAAGATACCGAGAAGAGAGCCTTCTTGATAGTGGTGCCCTCCCTGCAGAACACCCTCCCTTTAGATGTCAAGGAAATAAACAACTATCTGACTTTTAGAAGACATCTGAAGGCAGCCCTGTTTAGGGAAGTATTTTAAGGATTGATGTTTTTATTATGTTTTTAGATACATTGTAAGCCACCCAGAGTGGCTGGGAAAACCCAGCCAGATGGGCGGGGTATTGGTATTATTATTATTATTTTACTTAACCCACTTCCTTAGTCTTATCCATTACAGTGGTGCCCCGCAAGACGAATGCCTCGCAAGACGAAAAACTCGCTAGACGAAAGGGTTTTGCGTTTTTTGAGTCGTTCTGCAAGACGAATTTCCCTATGGGCTTGCTTCGCAAGACGAAACGTCTTGCGAGTTTGTTTCCTTTTTCTTAAAGCCGCTAAGCTGTTAATAGCTGTTAATAGCCGCTAAGCCGCTAATAGCCGTGCTTCGCAAGACGAAAAAACCGCAAGACGACGAGACTCGCGGAACGGATTAATTTCGTCTTGCGAGGCACCACTGTATATGCAGTTTACAGTCTGTTGGAGAAAGTCTAGAAGACATTAAGGGTTGTGTCCAATGCTAGTCCTATTTGAAGTGGGCTCTTTGGGTGGTCTTCAGGTAAGTTTTATTCAGAGTAGATACACTGAAATGAATGATGTGACTAAGTTAATTCCATTAATTTCAGTAGGTCTACTGTTGAGTGAAAAGTGGAAGTTAATGGACATGATTAACTTAAAGGTAAAGGTAAAGGGACCCCTGACCATTAGGTCCAGTCGTGGCCGACTCTGGGGTTGCGACGCTCATCTCGCTTTATTGGCCGAGGGAGCCGGCGTACAGCTTCCGGGTCATGTGGCCAACATGACTAAGCCACTTCTGGTGAACCAGAGCAGTGCACGGAAATGCCATTTACCTTCCCGCTGGAGCGGTACCTATTTATCTACTTGCACTTTGACGTGCTTTTGAACTGCTAGGTTGGCAGGAGCAGGGACCAAGCAACGGGAGCTCACCCCGTCGCGGGGATTCGAACCGCCAACCTTCTGATCAGCAAGTCCTAGGCTCAGTGATTTAACCCACAGTGCCGTGATTAACTTAGGTTCATTAATTTCAGTGGGTCTACTCTGAGTAGCACTTAGTTGGACACTACCCTAAGGAAATAACATTGGTGGCTAAAGAAAAAAGTTCTCCAACTGCTGCATTTGCCCAAGTTGTCCGTTCTCCCGTTTCCCCGCTAGAAATGCCTCTAAAACAGCTCCTGCATGAGAAATCGCCCCAGACCCAGAGGTAATGCCTTCAAGTCCTTGTTTGGGGCAGGGGATGACTTGCTGTGAGGCTTTGAATTCCCTGGTCAGGTTCAGGTCCCAAATCGGAGGGAACATGTTGCTTTGGGGAGGGAGGGGGACAGGATGTTGACTTGGCTGTCATTTTCTATCCTTTCTTCCCACTCTTCCCAGGCCCTTTTCAACCTCCTGATCCCCGACCATGCTGCTGATGCCTTCTCTCCACCCCGTTTGTCTGAGTACGGGTTTTGCGACTGGATCTTGGAGTGGCTCCTGGGAGGCCTGTCACGGTGGGATGCGGAGCACTTCTTGTTTATAGCTGAGCACGGCTACGTGTATGAGCACAATTGTGCCTTCTTCCCCTTGTTTCCCTTGAGCCTGCGAGCGGCAGCAGAAACGGTGCTGTGGCCCTTCCAAGGCTTCTTATCTCTCCGCAGCCGCCTGCTCCTTTCTGCAGCTCTGCTCAATGGTCTGTTCTCTGCCTGGGCAGCATGGACTCTGTATAAGCTCAGCTGCGCAGTCCTGCAGTGCCACAGGAAGGCGTTCCTGTCAGCCATCCTCTTCTGCCTCACCCCTGCAAACGTCTTTATGGCAGCTGCTTATTCAGAAAGCATGTTTGTCCTCCTAGTGTTTAGTGCCATGTGGTGGCTAGAGAAAGGGCAGCATTGGGCCAGCAGCCTCCTCTTTATGCTAGCTGCTGGCGTGCGTTCCAACGGACTGATCAATGCTGGGTTCCTCCTCTATTCCCAGACAAAACTCTTTGCCTCCCAGATGCAGGTGAGGACAGGAACTGGAGTAAAGCCGCCACAGATCTTGGGTCAATTCCTAAACCTGGTAGCTTCCCTGGTGGTGATGTCTGCCTCTGTTTTCCTGCCATTTGCTTTGTTTCAGTTCTGGGCATACCTTCGGTTCTGCAACACCACGTTTAGCCCTGAGTATGCTGTGCCGGGCCCACTGTTGCAACTGGCTGCACATAAGGGGTATCGTGCAGCAGCCTCAAATGGTGTGGCACCACCTTGGTGCTCCTGGAACTTTCCTGTGCTCTACACTTACATTCAAGATACTTACTGGAATGTCGGCTTCCTCAGGTACTTTGAGCCCAGACAGATCCCCAACTTCTTGCTAGCTGCACCCGCCATTGTGCTGGGCTCCTGGGCAGCCTGGCGGTATATCGCTGCAAACCCCTGGCACTGCCTAACACTTGGCCTGCTGAGAAGAAAGACTGAAGGAATGACGGGAAAGGACTTGAGCAAGCCAGCTACTGGTTTTTACTCTCCTGGTGCATTTGTTTACATGGTCCACGCAACAGTTCTGTTGGTGTTTGGGACCTTCTGCATGCATGTGCAGGTGAGTTTTGCAGATTCTTGAAGGGCTGTCAGATAGCGGGGTGGTGGCAACCTGAGCAAAAGTGTATCATGGTGTTATCAGTCCAGCCTGGCATAAAACCTTGAACTCTGCTTTGAAGGGATACACACTATGCAGGAGCAAATGCTCAGCAGGAAGTGGTAGCCAATCTCTGACCCAAGACATTCAGACTTGAATTTTTTTAAAGGTGTGCATCTTACTCATTTTGTGTGTATTCTGAGAATTAATCTGCGACATAGTCTCAAGACTTTGGCCTTTCCTAGCTCTGTTAATCTAAAATTCCTTAAACTAGAGATGAACCCTAAGTCTCTTTATGTGCTAAGCAAGTATGCTAGTATAGACTTGGCATATATTAGGGTGAGAGACCTTGGGTCATGGTAGAGCATGTGCGCTGCATGGAGGAGGTCCAGGTTTCAGTCCTTGACATATCCAGATTAAAGAGTGGCAGGTGATGAAAATGACCTGAAACCCTGAAGAGCCACAGCTGCCAGACTACTGGGCTAAATGGATGATAATCTGACCTGATATAAAACAACTTGCTATGTTCCTGTGCACTTTGCCACTGAGCAGTTAATCTAGCTTTGGGTTAAGTACCAAGCAGAAGTGAAACAAAGGAACTAGAAGCAGTTAGCTTGGAAAAACAGTGATTCTTAAGTTCAAATATGGGGGGAAAGGGATACTGTGAAAGAAGAAAGATGGTACTCGCCTCCCAGGGAAATCAACAATATTTGAATAGCAGCAGCTGAAATTTGAACTGTGCAGAAGAGAAGACTTCATACTTCTAGGCAGCAGACTTCAGTGATGAACTAGGTTGCCTCAGGAAACAGTGAATTCCCCTGCTTTAAGGGAGCAGCTGGATTATTTAGGCTGTGCAGATGTACATGGAAAAAGGAGTGGGTGTGGACTTTTAGTTAGCTGTTAAAGTTATGAATTGCAAAAAACCGAGAAGTGATTTACAAAATTGAAATACAAAAGTAAAATGCAGTAATAAACATACA